AACAAGCCCAACACTGCAACACGACTCACACAACAAACAAAGTGGCGGCGGCGGCGGCGAGGTGTAGCAGATCTAATCCAGCTCGAGCGGTGGAGGGGGAAGCGGTGGAGTCAACCGAAGAGCCATCGAGCGAATCTGGGCGATGATGATGGTGATGGCGTCTCTCTCCCGGGGGCGGCTAAGCGGCCGCCATAGCTGCAAGTAACCAAACCATTTGAACAAAGCGTCAGTAGCACGTCGAAGAGGAATCCGCTGAATCACAAGCTTATTCCTAACAGTCCACAACGTCCAGGTTAGCACTCCGATGACTAGCCACCTAATGTGGCGGGTAGGGGGAGGTAACGCCTGGAGTTCCGCGAATAGGTCGAGGAAGTTGTTGTGGTCCCAGCTGCCCCCTCCCCCCATTAATTCGCGGAAACAGCTCCAAAGGAACTGCGCGGACACGCAGGTGAAGAAGATACGATTCAAATCTTCTTCAGGCCCGCAGAGCGGGCGCAGAGCGGGCAACACCCATCTCCTGGGCCGTTGCGCTTCAGGACCTCCACGTCGGAAGGCAGGCGGCCTAGAATCCACTGCTACAAGAATATCCTAATCTTCAGGGGGAACTGAATCTCCCAGATGGAAGTGAGGGCCTCATGACCTAGCGAGGGTGCGATGACCTGGTATAGAGATTTATTTAAGAATTGCCCCGATGGCTCTAGACGCCACTTGGCCCGGTCTTCTCCACTATGGAGATCAGGTTCGTGCAGCGCGATGCATTCCAGCAACTTGTGCCAATCCGCAGTCTCAGCAGGGCCAAAAACTCTCCGAAACGCGAGTTTCCCTAAGTCAATAAGGGCCGTCGCGACCGAGATCCGCAGGTCAACCGCGATGAAGAATGTTAATTATAAGAGCGGCCTAATGTGGATGCGAACATCTACAAAGGCACATCGCCACCTTACACCAAAGTAAAACAACGGTCACTCTCTCACAAAAGTGTCTAAGCCACCAACTCCGAAACCTGCCTCACACCACTCTTTGATGTCCTCTAAGGCTATGTCTCCCAATTGCCTTGCCGTCTGTTGTTGTTGTTGCCTGTTGAAGACCCTAGTGTTTTGTTGCTTTCATAACAACCAAGCGGTACCAATCATGAAGGAGTCAAAACCACGCCGAGACTTGCCAGAGAAGTTAATTCTTTGGGCAAGCCACCAGTCCTGGAACGTGGCCGTAGTGGAAGGGATGTCAATGTTGACCTGGAGCCTGTCGCAACACCTATGCCACACTTCCCTCACGTAGACACAATGCCCGAAAATGTGATCCACGTTTTCTTCTTCTTGTAGGCAAAGGTAGCAACGTGACGGCTCATCCTGAAGCCCGTGCCTCGTGCGATGGTCAGACGTCCAAAGGCGATATTTGGTTGTCAACCATGCGAAAATCTTGCACTTTAGAGACGTCCAGCTCCTCCAAATACAATTGTCCAGCGCGTCATTTTCCATAAACGTATGTGAAAAGGGTTCCGTGGAGGTTACGTGCGTTGGCCCTCGAGAAAAAAGGGAAAACGCAGATCAAGCTTCCTCTCAGATATCCCTCAACAAAAAAAAAGCTTCCTCTCATATAAAACCGAGTCCTCCCTGAACGTGCACGGTCACGTACGGGTCGCCTTACAAACCTGAGTCTAGACGATCCGCTGCGAGTCTGCACACCACTTCGACCCAAACACGATGGACGCCGGCGATGGGGTCTCCTTGCCCTACGACGTACTCCTCAAAATCTTGAGCCGCCTCTCTCCGTGCACCCTCGCGAGGTGCCGGCGCGTCTGCCACGCATGGCGGGCCGCCGTGGACGTCATCGATGACCTCCTCCTCCCGGACTACTTTCCCAGGCACAGCTTTCCCGGAATCTTCTTCACCACGATCGGCTGCCAGTCCGATTCTTCCTTCTTCGCCCCGCCATGGACGCGCTCAGGGCGGCGGGATGGCAAGCCTGGCCTCCGACGCCTTGCGTATCCACGCGAGGCAACCGTACGCCGGTCGTGCAACGGCCTTCTCCTGCTCGAGGACTGGGGGTACTGCTACGTCTTCAACCCAGCGACCGGGCGGTACGCTGAGCTGCCGCGCCCTTCGCTCAAGAGCCCCGTGGACGCCATGTCCCTTGCCTTTGACCCGGCCATGTCGCTGCACTTCGACGTGTTTGTCTTCGAGAAAGATGTGTCAGCACAACATAGTAAACAAGCCGAGGCTTTAACACTCGAGCAAGTGAAGGATGAGGTCGAGGAGGAGGAGGAGCCGAGGGAACATGTGTTGCCTTTGGAAGTGTTCTCGTCGCGTACCTGGCGGTGGGAGAAACGAGAGTTCATGCCTGGGCATTGTGCCCCAAGGAACCTCTATGACATTCTTGCGACCACTTCGTCTAGTAACCAAACAGTATGGTCTTCTGAGTACTGGCGCGGGTCGCTCTACATGCATTGCCACTATAGCATCCTCACGATCCTACGCCCGTCAAAGGGGACTTACGACATGGTTAGACTGCCTGGGAAACCCTGCACAAGGTGCATATACACGCTGCCTTGGAATTCCATCTTAGCAAGCTACGAAAGAGGGATTCACTACGTGACAGTCGACAAATTACATCTTCAAGTATGGATGTTAACCGATTCGACAGATGGTCAACTAGATTGGACACGAGCACACGATGTTAGCCTCAACCCACACGGTCATATGATTAAGCCTCTCATTATACAGTCCAAGGTGACATGGGGTGTTGTCAGAAGCAGGACCGGACCGACTAGCATAGGCTACAATGACGATTATGATGACTCGGTAGAGAAGGAGGACGAAGCCACACCAAATGACTCTGAATATTTTTGGGACTCAAACAATGACAACTTCATCGACGTGGTCGGAGGAGCTGTCCACCTTAAGCCGCCGGAATGGGGTGCCCATTGTAGGATCGTGGGATTCCATCCCCACAAGAATGCACTCATCCTCGTACTTGATTGGGCAGTAGTAGTGTACTATCTCGACATGTCGAGGATGCAGTACCTAGGCGACTCACATGAGCTCTTAAGAGACCCCGTGCAAGATGCTTTCTATGTCAAAGGATCGTTTACTTACCGCCCTTGCTACAAGGACGTGCTATGGGTGGGGAAATTTTCCATGCTGTCTTAGACTGGTATATAGCTCTATTGTACTAGCATTTGAGATGCACTTTACCTCTAGGCTTAATATCATTTCTATGTATGCTCTCCTGCGTGGTTATATACATAGTTCCCATTGAACGGATTCTTTTGTTACGAGACTTACACAATGAACGGATATATGTGCTATTTATTTCTTGTGTACAAGCAAGAAATTACTTGGTCTCTTTAGTACTCGGGATCACTGGTGTGCGTTCGTATGGGTACATATATATTGTTTCTTGTTTGATCCGGTATATATAGCTTCTTCGTTACTAAGTTTCATGCACCCCTCCCCCAAGTTGATCTGCTCCTGTTGTTTCTTGAAGTTTTGATATATTTCATGTTCTTGCATTTGCACAAGGACTCGCTACAACACGGTAGAGTATCCAAGGTGTTCTGTAGTAGGCGACTTAAAACCGCCCTCACTTACCTTGGCCGGGTCAGCCACTGACATAGTCGTCCAGGGCAAAACCGAATTGACATAGTTATATAATGGTTATCACATAGAGTGGGATTCCATGCCTTGGAGGCACTCTCCAAATGAACATATAACAACTTTCAAGGCACTTCCATGATAATTGGACGTCTAACAAAAATTAGAGCAGCGACGACATTTAAACCCAAGTTTGCAGTTGCAGCGCAACAGTGCTTACTGTACCCATCGTAGCTACTCTGCCATAATATTTCTGTACAAGGTGACCTGATCAAAGAACTACTTACAACTTGCAAAACGGTTCGACCTAGCTATTACAATGCGTATGACCAAGCTAACGATTTGACCTAGCTTTCTGCAGAGGACTTGGCGCTCTGTTGTGTTGCAAAATCGCCCCGCCGAATGCCCGCCCCCGAAGGAGGATGCATGTTGAAAACGTAAGCAACTCGTCCTGCTACCTGCCCATCTAGTTGACGGATGCCCATGATCGGTGACCACTTAAGAGGCGCTACATTTAACAGGAATGATTCACCAAGAATGAAGAAACACTCCCTTGCCAACTTTTCCACCTATAAAAAAACAGCAGCCAATGTCTGTCATTTTTAGCAGTGGACTGATGTAATGTAATAATGTTGCCTGTTGACTAAGATGAGATTCTGAAGGTTATTCATAGATGTTAAACAGGCCATATGTACCAGAAAATAAATACAGTAAATAAACTACCACTAGACATGCAAAACAAGACACATAGATCCAGTAGATTTATTCACTGTAATGGTGTTGATACAACTTAAGAAATGGCGTACCTGTATCTTAACAAACTTTGTGTTACTCATGATCAAGATGATCTGCACACTAGATAATGGTCCTGACAATATCTTGATGGCAATATTCTCAAAGAACTTCTGCAAGACTTGGTGGTTGAGTGTTTCACCAGAATCATAATCATCTACCAAAATAATTCGCTTTAGTCTCGTCCAAGGAACTGGTAGTTCATGTTCATCTCCAATAGTTAGATGAGAAGGATCAGCGACATTCTGGACTATTCTGAGATTGTTTGCAACTAAATTACGCTCAGCCAAATGCAGATCAGGTGTAATGTCAACCATGTTATGAAGTTGAGAGGAAAACTTCAGAGTTCTGTCATTCACGACAAGAATGTGACCATTTTCACCTCCAGTCACTAACTTCCTCCAACTTATGTCAGCCTGCGGCCATGGTGGATCTTCTGGATTCATTTTAGAAGTAACAGATGAAGAGCTCAAAGAGCCAAGATTGTGTGCAAATGGACAAGAGTCGCCATTTCTACAACCCTGATCAAAGGAACGGCATATCAAAAGCAAAAATGTTAATTCATACCCATCGAGTTGTCCAAATACCAAGTTAACATATACATGCAGTTAGGTAGATATAAAAAGTGAGATACAATGGGCGAGGACCGCCATGGACAATATATTAAGAGAGAGCCCACCCAGGCGAGATACCGGAAATTCATTCCCGACGGGATTCAGACTCCAGTCAGGCTACTGCTCAGTTCTCAGTTAGTATTAGTTAGATATAACTTTAATGAAATGCATGTTGGCACAGTATCACTGCTGTCAATGCCATTTGACCTGTTACAACCATTTTATTCCTAGTGTCATCAATGAGTTACATTTAATATTACAATGAAAGAATATGTTAAGTCCTTCGCTGAGGCAGGGAAAAGTGTATCAAGTAGTTGCAGTAGAATATTGAGGATGTAGGTTTGGAGTTCAGTTGGTCTGCATCCGGCTGGCTATAAGATGATGTACTATGTCGCATAAATTGTGGTTACTACAATTTAAGATATGAAATTAGGGCAATCCTTCATCAAGATCTTACTCAACACATAGAAAAATAACCAAATAACGTATATATCCTGCAAATGACGCGCTGGGAAAAAAGGGCAGGTGATAATAGCATGAAAGAATGCAACAGTTCACCTTTAATGTGAGGAAGAACTTGCATGCTCGTTTCGAGGCATTGGATAAATTGTTAAGAGGTCCTCTGTATGTTTCACTAGATCCATCATGGTAGTCCACACACGTCTCTGCAAGTTCTATCTTCATCTGTGAACCAATCAAGAAGCATTATATTTATACTACTTTATGTCATATATACAGGTAACTTGACAATGCATACAATTGATATAATACAACACACCTTTTCAGTAACCTTCATGAGGGTATTAACAATGTCAGTGGCTCCAAAATCAGTTGCAGAAATATAAGGGATTGCAGCACACCTCTGTGAATCTAAGTGAGAATTGTCAGTTTCCAACGGGAGTGAAGTCATATGATCTGGCTCCGGCAATTCAGTATCACGACATTCATGGTGGAATTCAGAGGTCTGAAGGTACTTTGGAGGATTGATTTCCAGAAGAAATTGAGGCCTAAATCGGTGCAGTGTGCTCATAATATCATCATCTGTTCAAAAGAGTGAGTTACCAAGAAATGTCCATATATTGTATTCTTGGAAAATTATTTTGATATTTGCACTTCTACGAGTAGGTCCTCACACCAACTATGTATATTTTAATTTTTTATTGCAACACAAAAAGCTGATGTATAACACAGTAGGCTACAGCAGGCAACACTTTCCACCATCTTATGTACACATTTTCAAACTTTTAGTGGAAAACCATGATAATGCTAGAGTACCTGACACACATCAATAGATGCAAATTTTGCAATCAAAATACACTTCAGAAACTTTTTATCGCAAGTTAAAGGACATACAAATTTTGGAGATGTTGTTAAGTGCTTTAAGCACGAGATTGTGTAATCTACACCATTCTTGTTCAACTTTCAAGATCTCACATGCATTTGATTCTTGGTTCTTGGAGACATTTGTCAGGTACTCCAGACGAAACTTATCCTGAAAAAAAATAGAATATGTAACTTTGGTGAAAAATAAATAGTGTTAACAGAATCCAAATAAAAATATATACATTTTTTCATCAATAATAATATTCACTTAAGGGCCATGATATAGTATCCTAGAAATAGTCATCTACTCCCTCCGTTCCTAAATATTTGTCTTTCTAGAGATTTCAACAAGTGACTACATACGGAGCAAAATGAGTGAATCTACACTCTAAAATATGTCTATAGACATCCGTATATGGTAGTCCATTTGAAATCTCTAAAAAGACAAATATTTAGGAATTGAGGGAGTATTAGGAAAGGTATTACCAGAAAAAGATGGTACAAAAACAGAATGAGCGTGTAATTGTTACTAAAAAGGACTTGAAAGTTAAGATTACAAATTTAAAAATAATCAACTCCCAAAAATGTCCAAGACATATATGCACATGGTATTTTATTACAGATAAGACAAGATGTACCTTAAACATACGCTGCCAAAACTGATATGCCCGGAGATTTGCGATGAGTGTAGCTTCCTTCTTGCCAATTTTTTGGAAGGTACGTTCATCAAAATAATCATCTCTAATCTTCTTGCGCTGTAAAACAGAAAGTAGGATACATAACTAAAAGAACACGGGGATACAAGCATGTCATTTGAAGTAACTAGAACATACCAATGCTTGATCACCAAAAGGTTGCAGTACAGGAAGTGGTTGAATGTCCAACATAATGCCTATCAGGATTCCTTCATGGAGATACCCCATCTCACCAAATTTCAGGGTAAGAACAGAAGCATGAAATGATAACGGCAAACTATCGAGCAAATAGCCATAAAATCTGGGATGATACCCTCCAGGGAATGCTGGCTGAAATGCATCAATTTGAACAAGAGTATCTAGTGCATCTTTAATAACACTGGATTCCGGTGGATTGAGAATTTTTTGCAGCAGCACTGCCAACAAGTGACTGTTAGTGAGAATATTACCTTAATATAGATATATACGAAGAAGAGTGACAGTGTATAGTAATGAATGATCCCACATACCCAAATATGTTTTGTTTTCAAATGCATGTACTAAGGTTTTTAAGATCTTACTAACTTGTACAGAGAAGTATTTGGTGTTTCTTTTAACTTCAGTAACAAATTTCCATTAATTTTCTTTGCACACTATTGTAACCTCACTCACCCGGGCTTGTAAATACACTTTATAACTATCCAATTTATCGAGATGCAAGCATTACGTTTTCTCGAAAATATACGTAACAAATTTTACAGAATTTAGCACTCCCCATCTATATATCAAAGGATGTACAAGGTGTTAAAAAAATACGCACTTAGGGACACTGGTAAAATATTTAAATACGAGTAGTAAACATAATGAGAATCAAAACAGGAATTCTTAATTCAATGACTAAGTTATTTTTAAAACTTGAAAAAAAAGATGATACTGAACTCTTAAGATAGGTACAAGTGAGGTGGGTGCATCAATGTCAAAGAATTTGAGAACTGCTCCTATAGTTCACTATTCCTTGGCTGTGTGAATCACAGTGATGCAAAGGCGGTTCATTTTACTGTTATAATCCGAGCACAGAAACATCAAGCAAGATTAGTGGAATTGCAGAGAAAGAATTACCAGTGGGGTCGTCATTCATAGCTATGGAATCTGCACAACATATCATGAGTGCTTGGTCTCTCAAGGATAACATTGAAATGGCAGGGCTTTCATGATCAGGAAAAGAGTTGTAAAATGGCTCTGTTACCAAGCGAAAAATCTGTCCATCACAGGTTCGGCCTGTCCTTCCTTTCCGCTGCTCAGCCTAAAAAAGTTATAACTAGTTTCAACATGAGGGTCAAAAGTAAGTTAAAAGTGAATAGCATCAGTATATCTGTGATACTAACCTGGGACATGGAAATCCATACAAGCTTAGTTGAGTCGATTTTCCTGGTTCGGTCCCAATAGACTTGCAATGATCTACATGAATCAATAACATAAGCAACTCCTGGAATAGTGACAGACGATTCGGCCATGTTTGTCGCCAGTATAACCTGCAATTAAAATATTTGAATGAGTCCGTGGAAGGATTGTTAAATTACAAGATAAGAGGACATTGCTCCAATTATGTAAACATTTTATGTATCCATGCTAAATTTCGCCTCCCATGCATCCTGTTATGTGCACTAAATTGAAATTTGCGTGGTTCCCTCCCCTCAAATAAACTTATGTGGTTACCATAGACGATTTACAGACTAATAACAGTAGGGGGCAGCCATGCCGGTGCCCTTGGGGCCAAGGATCAAAATACGGTTCCGTGTTCAGAAAATGTGAAGTGAGAGAGGGTAACAGCCTAACAGGTGCTACGATGCAAACTTTAGGGGTCAAATACAAAACTTATGGCTAGTTTTATGTTTGCCCCATCTGAATGGATCTATTCTGTAGAATTTTCCCCACGTGCTTAGACCCTATGAACGGATCTATCCTGTAGAATTTGCCCCATGCGATGCTATGCTACATATGGCTAGGTTTAGTGATCTATGAAAAACCTCTAAGATTGATTTTTTGGGTGATTCCTGTGATCCAAAAGATCCTCAAACTAGCTACCGTATAAATGTAATCTCTATGAATTATATTGATCCAATTTTGTTCCAAACTTACTAATGATGATGATGATTAGCAACTCCAAACGAGAGAAGGGGGTTAAAGATACTGGATGCTACGATGTCCTAAACAAAGGTCCTCCAGCACACCACCTCCCAAAATCAGAATTTATTTATTTTCGATGTTATTATCCCCCCAGAAAAAGTGGTCCCTGGTCACAAGGAAATGATGGAAAAATAAACAAAATTGGAATCATATGTTGCCGAACGATTGTAGGAAAATGGAGAGAAATGTCGTTATAGCAATGAGCCATTGCAACTATACAATGGCATTTAGCAAATAATGATAGTGATATTATATCTTAGAGATGGTCTGGGCTTCCTGTTTGTGGTACACTCTACATACCACCTGTGCATTGTACTTGGCCTAAAGAACATTGGAATACACAAGTTGCTATTCCACATGGTATCAAGGTTTCAATCATCAAATTCAGTTCCATAAATACTCCATAGAATATGTACCCTACTCCTATGTTACATAAATGGTGCATTACGCTACTAACACCACACATATAGCTTAAAGTAGGAACAAGTATTCCAGGTAGAAAAGATGCAGTTGTACCAAGTTAAATTGGAATGTAACAACTTGTACCTTTCGGCAAGACTCTGAGGCCTTCATAGTTTCCAAAGCTTCATCTGTGTCAATGCTGCGATGAAGAATATGTACTTTGAAAGTTGAACAACCAGACAACCGAGCCCACTGCTGCTCCAATGCATGGTATGTAGGAAGAAAAACCAAAATACTCCTTTCAGTATCTGGTTCACTTTGGTGTATGTGCAACAATAACGTGTGGATAAGATGATACACGTCAGGATTAAGAATAGCATCTGTTTTAAAATCTTCTCCAGCACAATACTTTGTCGAGAATGATTCAGAATCCATCTTCAGCATGTTATCGATCTGCATTCCGTTGCATCAGGTAATAAGAAAATAGTAGGGGAGCAAAGTAGAAGGGCTGAAGGGGTGAACCTAATGTATTGATTGTATGAAAAATTAACAAACAACAAACAGGGACCAGGAAAGGTAATGAACACCTAATTATTATTAGTATATAGTACTACTACCACCACTGCTATAGTACTACTACTATCATTTTTTCTGTTAGTGATAGCAGCAATAATAATAATAGAAATAAGTTGGCATGTTATGGTGTAATGCTACAATATGTTAAAATGGCTATGCAATATATCAGAATGATTAAAATCCGTTGTAAAATTCTAAAATATATGAGACAAAGATTACAAAATAAACTATAGCATGTTTGGTAATCAGACATTGAAAATTAGAAGGTACATCATGCAACAAGGGATATATTAGGGACAGTGAACGAGGATAATTCACTTCATTTTAGAGCAAGAATCTGTATATACCTGATCAAGATAATGGACTTTTCTCTGGAACATGTTAGTGCATGGGATGCTCGGGATGGTAATCAATTCAACCTTTCCAATATCTTTAAAGTACTCAACGTACCGCGTGCTATCAACAGTGGCAGACATCAAAACCAGTCTATGTGAAGAGTGACATAATATGTATTAGCAATCAGCAGGAAGGAGTTAAGATCATTTTCTGCAGTAGACAGAAACCATCAATATTATTAAAAAAATTGATAGAATGTACCAATGCTTGTTACCAGAGTACTTACTTGAAGTCACTCTTTTCCATCATAAACTGCTTGATAATAGCAAGGACAAGATCAGATTCCACAGACCTTTCATGAATTTCATCAAGAATGATAACCTTATATTGCAATGCATCAATGCCGTGTTGACGAATTTGCTCTAGCATAACACCAGCTGTTTTGAAAACAATTTTTGACCTGATCCATACATTAAACAAGTCTAAAAAGTCAATCTATAGCAATGCAGCACAAACAATTTACCATATATTGTCAAGCCGGTAAGAATGGATCATGAGATTCAGGTAATTAAGATACTTCAAATAAGTTAGAAGGCTATGTGATGGAAAATTGGAAATTTCGAGTCAAATAAGCTCGAAGTAGAGATTAAGATGTCATAATGGTGGCATTCCCAACATAACTGAACTGCAGGTTAACTGTCCAAATCATCTCCTACCTCTTCAGTGTAATGGAGATGAAGAAACTGACATTATGTATATCTTTTTTGGTAAGAATGACACTCCAAACTGACAGGTACTACAAGCCTAAAAGATAAGAAGCAATATAATTTATTTATATATGCATATAGATTATTTATTTTGGAATAATAGGCATTGAATTGCCAATATAATCTAAAGCCGGAATTGAACAAACTCATTAATGCACATGGATAACTGGATATAGCTATGAATGGTAAAGCATGTCTGCATGACTTCTATGAAAAGTGCATGCACAATTCATATATATAAGGGAGATATCAAAAATTAATGAACAACAAGGATTGAAGGAATACATGTCTATAGCATGATTTCCATTTTCAGCTGTCATGGGTCCACCAACCCAGACCAATCTATACTGCCTGCAGTTCAGCTTTGAAGATAGTCGGACTGATTTCTATAAGGCTCCTAAGCATTCTATGTCAATACAGTGGTTTTTTGGTATCAAGATAACAAAGATCCACTCTAGTTTCAGCTATAGCATGAAGCCATGTAATGTAAGGCTAAGACATGGACTGATCCCCTGTCCTGTGTCTTGAGAATGTCACTTGTCACACTTGCAAGTTGCAGCAGACAGCAGTATCAGGTGAAGTGCGAAAGTTTCAGATCCTAGATAGTCGACAATAATCAGATGGTAGAATAATTATAGCAATGCAGTTGGTACCCATAAGGATGTGGTCCTGGACATTGCAAGATCCGGACCACTTATCTATATGACATTTTAATATTTTTTGACAAAATGCAAAAGATTGCTGAAATGCTTCCTCTAGGTAGTACACGTTTCAGGAGTATATATGATGGGGCTGCCTAAGCTAAAGTATCCTGCACAATAATGTCTGTCGAGATCAACGCAGAAGTAGAAGGAACATTCTAATGATATCTGCCTAATATTAGGGAGTGGGGCCACTGATTCACAACGAGGAGCTACCTTGTTGAGGTAAGATTCTTCATATTTGGGTGGCCTATATGATATCCAACTTCTTGTCCTAGCATCGACTTGCGAGAATGAGCCACCCTTTGAGCAATGGCTACCACCGCAAACCTCCGAGGCTGTGTGCACATAATGGGCTCCATATTTTCTTCTAGAAGAAATTGGGGGATCATGGAGCTCTTTCCTGCAATGAGATAAACAAGCGACCATATCCATTATCAATATATAAGAATTAGGCCGAAATTTACATCCGAGCCCAAGACAGAATATGTCAAAATTTAGACTGAATGTGTTGGCGTAAACAAAGCAATCGGAAACTTGGCATCAAGTGAAGGGAGAAGCCATATGGATGAAATCAGCCCCATGAAACTTGAAGCGACGCATGTAGCTGCACCCCTCAAACAGAGTGTTCCACGAAATCTCCAACAAGCGGACGCAACAATCAATGAACAAATCTGAACTGAAACTCTGTTCAGCAACTCCACATGGGAAATGGGAAATCAAAATAGGAAGGAAATGGAAATCCGAGGCAAATTCGTAGAAGAAGGGTCGCCATCGACCGAGACAAATATAGCACCATCCCGGCCCAAAACCCCTGCCGTCTTCGTCATCCACTTCCCCTAAAACTGCGAAGAGAGCAAGGTCCCCGAGACCAAGGTTCAATCGCTCTGGAGTTGTTCCCAATCCGGCCGAAACTCTGCTCCAAAATCCTCACGTACTAGCGCCAGAGGAAATCAGAATTCAAGGAGGAGATGTTAATTACCGCATCCGGTGCCCCCCACGATCATCGTGACGCGGTTCTCCTTCACCGCCTGGACGATCCTGTCGCGGAAAGCCTCCAGGGCGAGCGTCGGCCGCGGCTGCGGCCGCGGCGCCTCCTCTTCCCCCTCCGCCATGGCCAGCCTCCCGAGGGGGAGGTGGGCGGCGAGGGCCTTCTCTCCTTGCAATGCAAGTTTCGGCTCCGCGCCTTTTTGCTTGGGCTGTCGTCGCTCGGCGGGCGGCCTTCCCTTCCCTTCTCTCTCTCTCTCTCTCTCTCTCTCTCTCTCTCTTTCTCTCTCTCCGTGAGAAGAAGACAAAAGGGTGGCCAGCTTTTTGAGGGGCGAGGCAGAGCCGGTGTGTGGACGGTGGACCGAGCCTACGAAAGCACGTGACGGGCGCCCTCTGCTCTGTGGTGCATCAACACCGGGCTCACACACGTAGGATCGAGTCCCAGCCACCCGCCTCTACGAACCGAGTTACTTTTCACTTCCATTCACTCTGTCTTTCACAGCTGGCAGCAGCGGAGCATCGGCGCACGGCAAGTTGGCTTGACCGCCAAGTTGACCAGCGCAAACAAGGGTACCGCTAAAGAGTAAAAAAGACCATTCGACAGAATGGTGAGCTATTTTTGAAAATAAAAAGAGTTAGGAGAAGCACACAGAAAGATTTTCCGTAAGATATAGCCCTGTGGTTGGCCAAGTCTGATTTTCTTTTCACGTAACGGTGATGGACAAGGTATGCCATCAACCTTTAATGATGAAGAGAAACGATGGCAATCATTGTTGAAAGTCGATGCTTCCAGGAAGATGAAAATCGTTATGTGGAGACTCGCCCTCTGACTGTTTGCCTACAGGCAGCCAGCTTCTACAGCGCTATGTCATAGGCGTTGGTGTGTGCTTTCTTTGTAGCAGGGAGGAGCGACGAATCATCTATTCATGTTCTGTCAGTCCGCTCGTCATATCTGTAAGAGATGAAGTAGATATATGGATTCCATCCACGTCGAAGAGAACTTGTTCACACTACCGCAGTGGATCTTTGGTTTCCTTTATCAAGCGAGTTCTCTCGATGTCACGGCCCTAATGCTGACAATATGGCATATTTGGGAGGCCCGGAGTGATGCAAGAAATAACAATGCCCACATGCATCCTCGCAATGTGGCTGAGAAAGCAATGGCTTACGTCGACTTGATTGTCCAGAACTGTGGTAAGGCTGTAAATGTTTTCAAGGCATGATGCCCAGTGTCTCCTGTCAGATGGGTTCCGCCGGCAAATGCAATTATAGTTAATGTGGATGTTACACTCTTCAAGGCTTTTGGATGGATGGGAGTTGGCACAGTAATCAGAACCACAATGGAGATTACTTGCTTGGCTTGCCACGAGCACGTTGATGGGGTTACCACACCATAACTACAAGAAGCATTGGAGTTACGTTGTGCAGTGGCTCTCACCTGTCAAGAAGGCTTTCAAAGAGTAATTTTTTTACTCAGAATGTAAGTTGGTTACTCAGAGAAGAATCAATACTTTGATTTATGGATCGATCGCCAGTGGGGCTCATCATTGCTGATATCAACCATTTGTGGTGGTGTTCTCGTGTGTTCGCTTTAGCCATGTAAACAATATGTTGGATGTTGTGCCTCATATTCTAGCTAGATCTTGTGAGTCCTCCTACGACTCTCTATATTTCATGTAACCACGGATTATATCCATGAGGCACTCACTCTTGATTATCCTTGATCAGTAAATCCTAATATTCTCTCAAAATAATCCCACAAATGTGGATTATTATGTAGTTTTACAAAAATTATGCAGTCTCATTCTTATGATCCCAAGGACACTTTGTAGAGAAAATACTGTAAAACCTTTCAAAATTCCCATTAAACAGTACCATCCAAGGAGCTCCTCCATCTTTTTAACATTTGTGTGTTAAAAACTTGTTGTGTTTCACATAAAATGGGG